ATTTTGATTAACATTATGATTTTTCTAACATATGTAATCATTTGAGACCCATTTCATTCTTTTTCACAGACATACAGAAACAATTTTTGGTTTTGATATCAAGTTTATACTTTTGAATTGCCATTAGTAGAGACCAAAACGTCCAGTAAGTTGCTTAGCAACTGTGCTTCATTTCGTTCCTTATGTTTTATATGTGAAAACTGCTAGATATGTATCACTATATCAAAATATTCTATTTAATCTGAATATTGCAAAAAGGAAAATAAGTAAGTAATTTTGCTACAGTTGCTGCATGGAAAATGCTAAATACTCTACCTTTTACCTATGGACCCTTGAAGAAGAGTTGAACCAAAAGACAAATATAACAAAAAGCTGTCACCAAAATCTTTAAGCTCCAGACTTCATACATATTTCCATAAAAAAAATAGAAGTGTAAACCAAAATTCTTTAAGTGTAATTACTGTTAATACATTAGAGGAGGTTTGAAAAAAAAGGAACAATCACCCAAAACTTAATCCAACTACCTTGTTCTTTTACATTTACATTTCATGAACTGTTCTGTTAATATAGTCTATAAAAAACAATGTTAAAACTTAATAGCATTATTTTGTAAGTGACGATTCACAAATTCAAGGATTTCCTCTTTAAAGAAGCTAGGCCTAAGGTAGATAGATTAGATGTAGTAGGTATGAGACACATTGAATAGGACTAAGATAGAAATATTTTACCAGGCCAATGTAGTGTCCTTCACATGTTGATATTTAGTGAAGAATACATATATAGCCAGTGTCCAAGATGTCCCCAGTGATCACCACCATCTGGTTTATATGCCCTTGAATAGTCCCCTCCTATACTGAATAGGGCTTATGTGTGTAGCAACTTCCAAGGCAAATGTCACAAAAGACATGGTGGCGTCCTCCATATTATCTTTTGATTGAATCCCTCTGGGAGAAAACCAAGCTGCCAGGACATGAGAAAGCACTGTAAGATATCTTTTAAGGGAGTCAGGCCTCTAGCAAATAGCCATCAAGGAACTAAGGGCTTCTGAACATGACAGGGAGGTGGGGCCTCCAGTCACATCCCAGGCTCCCCAAATTTTCTAATGACTACAACTTCATGAGAGACCTTTCAGCAGCACCCTGCTAAGCAACTCTCAGATTCCTGACCCATAAAAACTCTGTGAGATAATAAATGTTTGTTGCTTAAAGCTACTAAATTTTGGAGTATCTTGTTCAGCAGCAACAGATAAGACAAGTTTTATCAATTACCTCCTTAGAATGCTCTTTTTAAATCACAAATCAGTAGAAAACACATCCCTAATTAAAATAGGTCAAAGGCTTCATGTCGTTTGTAAACTAAAACCCAAACTCCTCACAATGACCTATGAAAACAATTCATGCTCTGGTTTCTACCTACCTTTTTACCCTCACCTAATTCCATTCTCTACCACCTCAACTTCATGAGGCCTCTTAGATTACGAAAGAATGTACTCTCTTCCAGGACCTTTGCTCAGGAATGCTCTTCCCTACAATCTTGGAGGTATTCTTTGCAAACTCAGTTCCTTTTTATCACTCACATATCAGCTTAAATGTCCCTTTCCCAGAACGGCCTTCCCTGAGGATCCATTCATCATGAGAAAACCCTGAAAGGTTCCCAGTAAAGAAAGGAACAAGATACGGAGGCCATATTTAAAGCAATATAAAATCGGAGTTAGTCTGGTAGACTAAGTATATTAAATGAAAGAAATTAAAAGTATAAAATTTGGAAAGGAAAATGCATTACATGATTGTACCTCTCAGATACACAAAAAGAATAAATTGGAAAACAAGAAATATGTAAACCCTATGGGGACAAAACTTTAAAAGACCCTGAAGGACAACAGGCATTGGCAAATGTAAAGGCATAATAGGCAGGACAAGAAGACTAAACATCAAAAAAATACAAATTCACCAAATTCTCTGTGTAACATGATCCCAATAGAAATACCAAAACATACCTAAAATACCAATAAGATGATTATAAACTCATATGGAAAAATAAACAAAGCAATAATAGTCAAGAAATTTCTGAAAATTTAAAAGGAGGAATTAGTTCTATCGCATATCAAAATATATTATAAAACCTAAGTAATTAGAGAAATTTGATGTTGATACAGGAGAGACGTAACACTGGTGTAACAGAATAAGAAATCTCCTAATACAAACAAATATAAATCGATAAGGGAAAAGATGGACAAGATAACTACATAGTCAACTGGAAAAATATAAGTTGTTAACTAACAATCCATGCACAAAATGAATAAAATAGTGAAATGTTGGAAAAAATGAAGTCATTAAATACTACAAAAAGAAAATGGGAGAATTATTTATAATGTAGAAGTGGTAAAGATTTTTTAAAATTAAGATACGATAAACTAAAGCCATAGAAGAAAAGATGAAACAACTTTTTCATCTTTTAAACTTCATTTGAATAACATGGATATTAGAATGACAACTGAGGAAATATATTTGCAACTTTTATCACAAATGGTCAGTTTCCTAAAGGAGTCCCTTTAAAATCAATGGAAGACTAATGGGGTGTCTATATATTATTTCTTACTTTAAAATATTTTCAATCAGCCCAGGCTGGAGTGGTTTAGTGGACTGAGCGCTGGCCTGTGAACCAAAGGGTCGCTGGTTTGATTCCCAGTCAGGGCACATGTCTGGGTTGTGGGCCAGGTCCCTGGTAGGGGGCATGTGAGAGGCAACCAGTTATTGATGTTTCTCTCCCTTTTTTTCTCCCTCCGTTCCCCTCTCTCTAAAAATAAATAAATAAAATCTTTTTTAAAATAATAAAATAAAATATTTTCAATCAACTGTGTTACTTTTTTTTTTTTGTAAAAAAGTGAATAAAATAAAATGAATACCACTCCAGCTACTATTTGAACTTGGATTCACCAAAACTCTTTACTTGTGGAGGTTGACCTGTATGAGTGAGTGTTTTGTGGAAATTGAGAGAGGTACTCAACTTTCATAGCTGAGCTGAAAATAGTGTGAACATCAGTGCATAGCAGGACAAGAAGCTGATCCACACAAACTGAGGAAATGATAGTTCACAGCCATCAACCCCTAGCCCCAACCCAACCATTCACAGAAATTTTAGGGGAAGTTTTAGACTTGTAGGGGAGCATTTTAGGTAATATTATTTAGTTATTAAAAGCAAAAAGTGACTCCAGCAAACATGTATGTTACTAGAGAATAATTTGAATGTTAGGCACCAAGCCTAGTTCTCAAAGTGTGTTTGTGATGGCTGATGTGACTCTTGGCCAGTTTCTTCCCATCTACACAGTGAAATGACTGGGAGAACTTAAGATTTATCCATTGTAACAATTGAAGGCAAGTATCTTAGTTCAGACTAAGGAAAGCGAGTCCCAAGTAACAGGTTTCTAACAATTAAAAAACAAAACAAAACAAAACAAAACAAAAACCTCTCTCATGATAGAGAAGTCCAGACTTAGCAAGACCCAGGGGTGGTAGGTCAGCTTCATTGGTATCATCAGACAATCAGGCTTCTAACTTTTTCTCACCATCCTAGTCCAAATATGCCACTATCAAGTCACTTTGTGGTTCCAAATGGCTATTGGATCTCAAGCCATTAAATCCACATCCTATAAATGTTGAGGGAAAGGAGATACACACAAGAGTACGTCCTCTATGATTCTTGTTATATGGAGTTAATTTTTTTAATTTTCTTTACAATGATACAAGTCAACATAGTAGTTATCTTTATATGGAGTTATTGGCTGGAAGGGGACACAAAGAAGCCTGCTGGGACGCTAGAATGACACACATCAGCATCTGGGCAGTGTTATACATATGAAGAACCCCTCAGTATGTACACTTCAGATTTTTACACTTTACCAAATGTAAGATAACTAACTAAATAAGGCATATCTCAGTTCTTTGAGTATATCTGTATTTTACCAAGATGCTTTCACCTACAAAAGTTGAAAAGTAACCAAATCACAGTCTGCTGGAGTAGGTAAGGATGTGGCAATTATCTTACTTTAGGAATACTTGGGCTCAAAGCCTATCTCCAGTGTGCATTTACTGTTTTCTCTCTGAAAGGAGTATAACAATAATGGCTTTTTCCTTTTCCGCATTCACAATACAGTCCCTCTGTGAGGATTTGAGGCAAATGTCATGTTCTTAACATAGTGCCTGATATGTAATATACGGTAGTAGTAATTTTTATTATTTATTATTATTATAATAATCATTAACCAATGAGAGCATAGGGATCTTAAGTGATTCTATGGTCAAGAATTTCCAAATAAACTGGTTAATATCCTTATGAATGTGAATATCCTACTGAGAATATACATTTGACCATGAACAGTTTTTTGACTGAGAACTCCCTAAAGAAGCTGAATCCAGTTCTTACTATTTATAGCTCTACATTTTCACAAAACTCAAAGGAGTCATAGGAACAATTTTGGGAATGTTGTAAAAAATTCAGTTTTGTTTTCAATATTATACGATCCTCATTAAGATGGCCCTTTGAAAACTGAATTGGAAAGAATTTCAAAATACACTATTTGATAAAAGTAAGATATAAAAGTAGTATGCATAGGTTAGTACCATTTATTTGTGTTATATAATTATAAATGCATTGAATGATTTCCAAAAGTACACAAGAAACTGGTAAAAGTGGTGACCTTGGGAAGACAAAGATCTTTGGGTAACAACTGGGAAGGGCTATATACTTTTGTTCATTTAATATAAAAAGCCCAGGCCAAGATAGATAGCTTTCTTATTATTTCCCTGGGAATAATGGAACTAAATATTTTTCTAGTCCATATTTTCATGGAAAAGAATTAATTGATTTTCTTCATAAATAAATTTTATAAATAATGTATTTTATTATTTTCATATATTTTAATGTATTTTATTAATACATTATTTATTTATTTTATATGAGGAACAATCCATTTTGAAAAATGCAGAATACAAAATACTTACCCACTTAGCAATGGGGCACCCATGAGAGCTTTTCCCTTCTTTTCCGGTATACACTACTATTTCTATCCTTACTGCGCTTCCTTTTTGCCCATACCTGAGTACAAAACACAGTGAAAAAATAATAATTGCAATACACACTTTTAACATCTTAATGTGCATAAGATACATATTTACAGAAGTACAGAAACCAAACATTCCCCATAACTTATTTTTGTTAAAAATTTAGATTTCTGTGGCAGATATTTTGTTATCTAGTTGTTTACTTCTCCTTTAAGATCACTCTTTTAAAATAGCCTGGCTCCAAGATAGATAAAAAGAATGTGTACGGTATTAACAGAGGTCATTTGAACTATTCTACCATTATTATACAACAATATAAAAATGAATATTTTTAAATTTAACAGAGACAGCCTTGCTTTGTGAGTGTCTTGCTGAGTGCCCAATGGCTCATGTGGTACGTGATTCAGCAGGGACACCAGGAAACTATTCCTTTCCTGGGCCCTAAGAAACATTCAACTCATACTCCTGAAGAGTCTCCATTCACCTCATACTTGTTCCCAGAGATAATTTCTCTGCATTGAGTCTGGACCACAATAATGAATGACTTTAACAGGGAAGAATTTTTTTCCTCACCTATTCTCCATGATTTCCCTGACAGCAGCAACACTTGGTCCTGCCCCAAGGTGTGTATAATATGGGCCTTTTTCTTTTTGTATAACTCGATCTGTGGAAGGAATAAGATTATTAGACCCAAAGTTTACAGAACTGTATAGGGGCAAGGAAGAGCTATTTTTACTATTTTTTTTCCATTCAGAACAATGAATCTTGACAAGGTTTTGGTAAGCTTTCATAATTTAAGTCTAGGGCAGCAGGACCTAAAATTTATCTTCTTCCTGTTCCTTTCTGCCCCTGAAAATCAGAGAGGTGAAAATTTTTTACAATGCGGGTCATATTTATTCTTTTATCTCCTGCTTTAAAAAACCTATTAATAGTTACAGTACAAAATTAAAATTTATCCAAGAGCAATATATTTTAAAAGCATGGGGTCAGAATCCTATTAATTGAGCCCAACAGTTGCACTGCTAAAAATTTATTCTACTCTTTGCTCACACAATTATATATTTATAAGACAAATGTACATGAGAATGTTTCTAATTACAAATATTTGAAATATCAAAAAAAAAGAGAGAGAGAAACACCCTTAACATCTGTCAATAAGTCATAGTTAAATTAGGACATGTTTATATACTGGAAGACATTGAAGCTATTAAAACAATGATATTTACAAACATTGAAAAAAATCTAAGAAATTTGTAAACATTTTTTATTTTTAATTTTTTTCAATTACAGTTGACATTCAGTATTATTTTGTGTTAGTTTCAGGTGTACTAAAAAAATTTAAGAATTCTTAAGGTAAAAAAGGAAATTGCAAAAACAGTATGTTTTAAAAGACTTATACTTTGTAAAATTTGAAACAAAATTAAAATCAGTATAATATTGCCCTGGCTGGTGTTGCTCAATGGACTGGGTGCTAGCCTATGAACTGGAAGGTCACAGGTTTGATTCCCAGTCAAAACACATGCCTAGGCTGCGGGCCAAGTCCCCAGTCCAGGGTGTATGAGAAGCAACGGATCGATGTTTCTCTTGCACATGTTTCTCTCCCTCTCTCTCCTTCCCTTCCCCTCTCTCTAAAAATAAATAAATAAAATCTTTTTAACAATCAGTATAATGTTAATTCATATGGAAAAACTGTAACAGGTTTTGTGTTTAGAGACTGAGACTCTAAACACAAAGTAGAAAGGTGTTTGCATCATAGTTCTGTACCAGTTGAATTTTAATTTTTGTGAATGTGAATTACATATAACTTAGAAAACAGTATTTCTTAACTTGGTCTCTTAAGAGTCAGATCTAACTTGAATCACTGTGGAATACACTTCTGGCCATGGTGTATCCACCTACACAAAAGGTCATTATTGAACCATTTTGATTGGACATCAAATATAACGGGGAATTAAGTTCTGTAGGTCTTTAAGCAAGATATATTGAGTAGACTTTAACTTACTACTGGTGATCTAGAACCGTGGTTCTTAACCGGGTGATTTTTGCTGAGGGGACATTTGACAGTATTTTTGGTTGTGAGGCCTGGGGCGGCGGGGGGGGGCGCCAGGGGGGCATGCGCGCATGTGTGTGTGTGCATGTGTGTGTGTGTAGAGGCCAGGGATGCCACTAAGCAGCCTGCAATGCATAAGACAATCTCCCTACAATAAAGAATTATTCCACCTAAAATGCTGATAGTAGTAAATCTGAGGAACTCTGATCTAGAGGCTAATTATCCTTATTTAGCTAGAACATAATACCTCCATGGAAATTCTTCACCCTTAGATGTAATGGTCCCACTTGGGATGATTTCTGAGTGAACCTGTTTTTTGTTTTCTTCTTTAAGTTCCTATTCCATAGAATGAGCACAATAATCTCACATGTAATGATTACAGAAAAACACTTCTGTGTCCACTGCAGGTACTCAATAGCTTTGAATGACTGGCTGCTGAATTCCTACAATGTGACAAGTTACTATGTGTAAGGAAAGGATCTTAGGACTAGACAATCATTCTATTGCAACTATGCATACAGTATAAGCAGGCTGCCTTAGGTATATAAATTTTAGTGGCATTTTAAATTAGAGATGTTTTTTCCATTCATAATGATATTCAGAAAATCATTTTTACTTTTTTACTTCAGATTTTTGAAGCAACAGATGGTGAAAGTTACAAACATAGGCTCTGGAGTTGGGATTCCCTGCCTCTGAATTGCAGCTTAGTTGTTTACTACTGAAAAGTTCTCTGTGACTCAGTTTCCTCATTTGTAAAATGGGGTCAATAAGACTTTTCTTTGTAAGATTGTTGCAAACACAAGGCAAGGGCATGGCACAGTATCAGACTTGCAATACATGACCTGGAATGGGTGCCATTATCATTATTACACTCTTCTGTCCTTGATCCCAGAACCTCTCATTCTCCCAATTCAATGCTGCTCAGACAGCCCTGTGCGAGCTGTCAGACCGAGCTGTCACACAGGAGCCTATCCTCGGTGCCTGGCACAAGGGAGGCTGTCAAAACGGCGTGTTGAATGGTGAGTGTAGAAATGGAAGGATTCATTTCATAATATCAATTGTACTTTAGATAATCAAGAAGTAAAAGTCTTCGTTATACTTCATAATTTTTTCTACAGTGGCTAAAAAATATTCAGAATAATATATTTAATCCTTCCAAACAATCCTTTAACTACCCAATTTGGAATAAACTACCTGTTTCTAATAATAGCCTGGGTCTGTGATTTGGGGCCTATTTTAAGAAAAACCATTATCATTAAACTTATCTGGGTTCAAAATAGATTATTTTACAAATTCTGTCCTGTCACAAGTTGCATAAAAGCAGGAATAATGGGCTTCAAGCAGCCTAACAAACTTTATTGACACAATCTCTTTAATCTCCATACTTTCTAGCTAAACTCAAGTAAATACATTTCTTCTCATATTTGAGCACTTACATGAAACTTGACCATAGGCACACTTAAAATGAACAGGCTTAACATTAAGCTTGCATGTTTCACATACTGAGCAAATTTCTCATAAGACCTGCCTGAAAATCTTTACTCCAGCAGGTAAAAATCTACAGGGCTTTTAAAACACTGATAAAACTACTAATTGTTAGTTCCTAAATATTCTCTTTCAGTGACTCCTAAGGCATAAAATATAAAAACACATTATTTAGAAATTGGTCCATGATGCAGCTGTTCACACAAATCTATTTATTATTGTTGTTTGAAATAGTAAATCAATTATTCATTTAACAATTTAACATTTAAAAACTCCAAAAGGTTTGCAAATTCTTCAACTAGCCAGAATTATAAATGTTTTAATATGTAGGCACACCCTTTATATTGCAGATCATAAAAGCACTAGGCACTGAAAAAGAAATAAACCAATTCTAGTTCCCGGCTGAGGTATCAATTGCACAGATACTTTCTATGGTTATTTGTTAAGTTGTACATATATTTTACATTTTCTGTATGCATGTTATATCTAACAATAAAAATATTTTTAAGCAAGTGCTTACAGGTTAAAATTCTTTTGAATATGGGAAGAATAAATAATAAAGTATTGAAAGAATTTACTCTCACAACAATAAACTGGAGAGACATTAAGCCTCGAGAGAAATTCGGCGAATTTTCCACTTGAGAAACTTTCATAATTTTGAGTTGAATTTCCAACTTATCTGAGCAGAATCAATAAAGGTCCCATGGGAAAATGAGTATAGAATTATGTAGTCCATCTTAGCTAGAATATGAGTTGGGCAAAAATGCCATATGTGTAATACGAACCCAAACTTGATTTGGTCATGACATAAGGCAGTTCATGCAGGTAATGAAGAAACACACACACCATACACATGCACTTACCAAGACAGTTGCAGGTTGGCAATTCAGAATCTTTCGTTGTGGATACCAGGTTTTTTGTAGGATTAGTAAAGAAGTTCATGGCATAATCATTAAAACTCTTCTGTGCATTGTCTGCAGGGGAAAATTCTGATGCTCCAACACTAGATAAACAGATGTCCTCTTCACTTTTGGTAGAAACCACTGCAATTCCACCTGAACATACTACATTTACATTCCTGAGAATTTGTGCTGGGTCCAATAAGGGGGTCACATTAGAGATCCCAGGCAATGTTGGCAGTTTCTGATGCATGAGTTGGTCTTTAACATCTTGCTGGAACTGTGTTTGGTCATTTTCAGCCATCATATTAGCACACGTAGTTGGAGAGGAGGGTTGGAGTAAAGGATGAGCTTTCTGATTGACATTCACTATTGGCTGTACCTGAGAATTATAAACTTTTTCTGTAAACGCCTGTCCACTGGATTCTGTTTGAAACTGGGGAATAGGGAGAGAATCCAATGGATCAACCTTCATCATTTTTTCCTGTTTTAATTCAGGATAATATCGTTCAAATTTTATCTGAGCAAGTGGAGGAAATAATTTTTTGTGTTCTAATGCTGAACTTGTTTGAGTCAGTGGTTTCCATTCTTTGGTCACAGGAGGAATTTTTCCCAACAGAATAGGAAAATCATGTGGACAAAATTGACCAAATCTTTGAAATTTAGATGCCATCCAAATGTCATGCAACTTACTATATTCATGTGACAACTGTTCCTGCTTCTTCTGGTCATTTTCTTGATAACTTAGCACTGCAGGCTTCTTTTTCCGCCTATCTCTTGATGGGGTAGGTTTAGTCTTTTTCTGGGTTGTGTTCTTTTGCTTTGTTAATGATGAGCTATGATTATTTTGTATACTGGAAGGTGGTTTCTGTTGTATTGTGCCCCTCTCCTGACTGTATTTTTGCTGTGCATTATACTCAACAGGGTTTGTTGTACTTTCAATATTATTTTCATCTGGTTTTATGTCATTGTATTTAATTATTGATGCAAGTTGTGTTAACTGTGTTGCAACATCTTCCTCTATTTTGCTATGAACTGTATCTTGACGTAATGGATCATCCTTTGAGTCCGACGTTTTACTGCTGTCCTGTGACTGGTTGCAGTACCCCAATTTATTACTTGTTGGTGGCAACTGATGCAAATTCTTGGAACAACTATCAAGATTAATTCTACTTGGAGCAACATTTTTATTGGTTTCAGTTACAGATGAATTTGAATTTGGTGTAAAAAGAGATATTGAATTTTTCACTTTTGAATCTTCCTGTAACTTTGTGGATGCCTGGTTAGTAGCTGAGCTGTTGTGCAACTTGGAAACAATATTTTGGCCATTGAACAGCACCGTGCTACATGCACTTTGCTTTTCCAAAGATGGACAGTGGTGAAGGTTTTGAGGCTCCCCTTGTAAATTTGGTTCTTGGAGGTCTTTTTTTACAGAATGGAGGATAGCTTTACAGTTATTAAGCAGACTAGCTGTACTCTGCTCTGTTTCTTTATCCTTCTCTAACTTTGATGGTGAGGAATTTTCTGAAGGGGCTTCTGAAAGCTGAGTCAAAGCTTCTATAGCAACCACTTGCTCTAGCGTTAATCTCCTGTCTTTTATTAGGGATAGAAGACTTGGTTGAATTGGAGGTTCAAGTTTTGGTTCTTTTCTTGGTAAATTTTCTAGATATTTTGATTGATCACTTTCATTGGGTGTACCGGTATGACTGTTTAAGTTGAAGTTTGTAGGATCTGGAAAAGTCTTGGAGTTAGAGTCAGGCTTCTGGAAGACTGAAACATCACTTCTCCCCTTCAGATGATCACAGCTTGCATTAGTAGCAATGGAGCTCATGGCATTGTTATGGTTTGCAGTGTCTTTCAGGAGTTTATAGGAATTGTTTTCAAATGCCTTGCCAAATTCTTCAATGTTGAATTTTTTAAAAGACACACTTGTTTCAGTTGGTAAATAGTGTACATATTTAATGCCATTTCTTACAGTTTGTGCAAACAATTTTTGAGGTTCAAGGAATTCAGTAAGTAGGACTTTTTTCCTGTCATCTTCAGAGGTTTTCAATTTTTCAGCTTCTGTCACAGTTGCCTTAAACTCTCCTTTGACTTGATCAGTTAAATGTGATTTCTTGTTCTGTGTCCACTTCTCCACTTCAATACCTGTCATACCTTCTTCATTTTTAGTTACATTTTCAGGGGGATGTGGGTTCAATTCCAATCTTTTTTCTTCCCCCTGACCACATCTACTGTATTCCATGGATTCTGACTTGGGGCCATTTACTGGTTTGTTGTTAAAATCTGCCTGTAAAACAAACACAGAAAATATTCATATTATCCATTTAAATTTTTGAATAAGATTCATAGGGATTTTAAAATTTAAGAGAAATTAAATGCAAAGCCCTAGAGTATATATTATTGCTTTTACATGTTCAGAGAAATCATAAAATACCAATAAGAGGTGTGTAGAGAGAAAGGAAAAAAAATAGAAACTATCATAATTGCATGACTGTTAGTCAATAACTGGGTATATTTGGTATGTTATTCCAAATAAATTTTAAAAATAATTTTAAATTGGTTTTCCATTCAATGGCAATTGAATGGGCAATTTCCATGCAATGGGCAATATTAATTATTTTAATGCAAAGTGTACTGAAGTAAAACATACACAAAGAAAATGTAAAGTCGTAAGTACATAGCTTGTTGAATTTTCACAAAATGAACACCTGTGTGCCTAGATTCCAACCAAGACTCCCATCCTGTCATCACTCCACTGCAAAAGGGTACCCAGTGCTTTGACATCTATCATTGGTTTCTTTCGCTTATTTTTGAATTTTATACAACTGACTTCCTTTCACTCAAAATCATATTTGTGAGATTCACCCATGTTGTTAAGTATATGAGCAATGCATTAATTCTACAATGTACTTATCTATCTTGCTGTATGTAGATGGACATTTCAGTTATTTCTAGTTTTTGGCTATTATATTTATATGCCTATACTAGTTTTAAATATGCCTATGTTATTTATTTATTTTTAGAGAGGGGAAGGAAGGGAGAAAGAGAGAGAAACATCAGTGTGAGAGAGAAACACCAATCAGTTGCCTTTCACATGCCCCCAACTGGGAACCTAGCCAGCAACCCAGGCATGTGCCCTAACGAGGAATCGAACCTGCAACCTCTCGCTTTGCAGGATGATCCACAATCCGCTGAAACATACCAGTCAGGGCACACCTATACTTTTGCTATTACTGTTATCTTTTGGTGAACATATACATATACATTGAGCGGAGTGAAAATGCTGGATCATAGAGTGTGTGAATATGCCTATACATCTTCAGCTTTAGTAGGTAGAGCAAAAAAAATTTTTAAGTGGTTATCAATACACACTCCCACCAGTAATTGACAGGTCCAATTGTACTACGTTACTATGAACAATTAGTATTTCCTGCCTTTTCATTTTGGCCATTCTGGTGAGTTGGTAGCCATATAATCCTTTTTAAAAAATTGTTAGATCAGATTCCCATAAAATTCGATGTCACCATTTAAAATTGTACATTTCAGTGGTTTTTAATATATTCACAATGTTGTACAAAACCCAACTCTAATTACAGAACTCTTTCATCATCCTAAGAGAAACCTTCCTTGTACCCATTAAGCAATCACTCTCTACTCTCTGCTTTTATTCTTATTTTTTGAAACCTTGAAACAGCTCATCCAAAATTATACCACAAGAATTGAGAGAGTAGGCACATTTCCACTAATGACAGGAGCAATTAGAAACATAACTTCTATACTACACTACTAACATTTAAACATGGCAATGGATGTTCTAGTCAATGCCAACGAGATAAATATCAAAAATTAGTAGACTTCTTGTTGAATGAAGATGATATAACTGACTCCCACGAAAAACCAACAGTATTCACTAAAAGAATGTATCAGAATTCAGAAGGGGAACACTTATTTTTAGAATATAATATATGTAAGTATTAGCCAATTGTATAATATAGCATTAAACAATGTTAGTACAAATACACTTTATCTAATTTCTTGACTGGGGTACAGGTTACACAGCTATTTTCAGTTTATTAAAACTTATCCAAATATAATTATCACATACACATTTTTATCTATGTATATTACATTTCACTAGCTTTTAAAAAATAAATGTATAATGGCCAATTTTTAAAAGCATATACCAATTGTATAAAATATTAACATATAAAGCAATAATTTTTTAACATACAGGGTAGATAAATTAACATACTAGACTCAAGAATATTAGATAATTTATTATTCAAATGTTCATTTCTAAGCAATGAAGAGAGTCTCATTTTCTTAATAATGACAAGAGGGAAGTTTATCCCTATCACATATCATGCAACAAAAATTCCAGATATATTAATTTAAATATAAAAAGATGTATGAAGAAAATTCAGAATGTAGGTAAAAATCTTCCAAGGCAACCATATAAAGTGAGAGACATAAAGGAAAAGATAGCTAGCTAATATCAACAATTTTATTTTTTCTTCTACTTTTGTCCATTCAATCAAGTATCCAGCTTATACAGACACCATAATATAATGTTTATCAAATTGCTGATCACAATTCATAAATCCAAATATCAATTTAGTGCCTTGTGGCAAGTTATTTTTAATAGAATAGAAAAAAATGAGTACACTATATTTAGTGAAGATAACTACCATGTAAATCTTTCATGTATGTGTTTAGATGTATCTGTGCACCAAATCATGATGTAAAATGCATGCCTGATCAGGACACATATAAGAATCAACCAGTGAATGAATAAATAAGTGAAACAACATATCAATATGTGCGTGTCTCTCCTCCATCAATAAACTATTAAAAAATACATAAAAAAATATAAAATCGCCCTTTTTCCAAGCACAATTCTATAATTTTTAACAAATGCACACAGTTGTGCAGCCACTAGCACAATCAACATACTGAACATCAGCATCAAACAAAAGGTTATTACATGTCTCCTTCAATGTCAATTTAAGAGTTTCTATTCTCCATGTAAAAGAGTGCCAACAAATTAATTTAAAAAAAGGAAAATTACTCAATATAATAGTGAGTAAAGAATGGGAATATGCAATTCACTTAAGTGGAAATTGAAAGGACCAAAACCTATTTGACTTTACTAGAAGACAAGCAAATCATTTTTTCACCTATCCAAAATGCAAAAATAAAAAAGCAGAAATGTATTCAAGCAAATTATAATGCAACATAACATTTATACTGGAGAAAGTATGAATAAATTCTTAGTATATTCCTATTTTCAAATAATATGCAGCCATTACTCTATTTATCAGTTCAGTGATTGGATGGCAAGATACCCACCATATACCAACCCAAGTAAACAAAGCTCAGGTGTGATGTTATTTTCATTTAAATATACAAATATATGTCTAGCACTACAAAAAGTCAGATTGATAAACCTACAATGTTCATAGCACTTACCACGATGAAACAGTTGTTTTTTTCTTAAATTGATGCTTGAAATATTATAGATATACATATCCAAGTACACTGGAACTTTGACGTATACATTCCTTTACAGAAAAGATCCTGAGGTTTTTTAAGATTTATGTGCCAAAATCATAAGACATTCTCATTAATTAATGAGATTAATTAAAAATAACTGACCTTTATTATTTAGCTACATCTCATATGGCCTCTTAAAAACGCAGGTCTCTAATTACATGAAAACATGCTCTACACACTGCCAAATACTAAACCTAGACTTTAAGAAAAAAATTTAACAGATTACATTTTATTAGAGGATAATAAGATATTCTCTGTTCTGTATCCTCATAAATCAGCCCTGAACTCTTGCAAATACGTCCCATTAACTTTAATAGTGTGTGTGTATATGTGCATGAGCACTAACAAAATGGCTACTCTTGTTATTACTGCTCATAGTGGAACTGAAGTTTTCATAGTGAAACTTGCCATTCATTGTGAAACTGAGTGCCAGAGTAAACACTATTGGGGGAAAAAATCCACGTTCCAGCCATGTCAAAAATGAACTGAGAAAACATGAATTGTACGGTATGTGAAATGTATCTTAAGAAAGCTGTTACTGCCTCCCCACAGAAGTGAATCAGCACAGATGAATGAAAAAAGCAGTTGTAAAAATAGGTTAACAGCCCTTACTACAAAGGACCCAGTGCAGCGCTCTCTCCAGCAGCCCACACATTGCTCCTCTAGGCGTGTCCCTTCGCTGTTACTCTCCTTCACGCCAAGGCCCTTCCTTTCCCTCTACCTCGTTTCTTGAACCCCAGCAGCCCAACTCACTCTTCTCCCCTGTGACTTTCTAAACAAACATTTGCTTGTATCTGAAAAAAAAGAGATAACACCATCTTATTTAAAAATATATCTAAATAATGTATAAATGTGTATCTTTAATAAAAGTGTTGTAAAGAAAAGAAACCAACCTAATTGCTACCTCTGGTTAATCTTGAACACTAAGATGGGGAAGAGAGGAGAGCAATCCTGAGGAATTATGTTACCTAGGAGATGGTACTACGTGTTTCCTTTTTATAAGGGATCATATAAATAGTGATGGGGAATAGATGAGATAACATGACTATAATGAGGTCGAGTGACCTAACAATTCAAGAATGTTAGCTGGTTTACAGTACATTCACATTCAACCCTCTCTACGACCGTGAGTTGTGCTGTGGAAGGGTGCTCAACTTAAAGAAAAAGGCAAATTAAAAAGAAACTAGAATAATATTTTTTACTTATCATAATAAACATCAAAAAGTTTGGCTACCTAGGCCCTACAGTTAACACTGGTTGGATTGAAAAATGGTGCAGCCCCTATGGAGGGCAATCTGGCATTAATTATCAAAATTATAAAAATGCATGAGTGTGGAAGTATAAGAGGTTATAAGACGGATAAATGGTAATGAAAAAAATATAATTGATATGAACTATTAAAAAAATTACAAACATAACCTATCCTTTGATATAACACTTTTACTTTTGGGAATGTATTCTAGTTATACCTGTACATAATTGCATATGTTTTGACAGCTTTGTATGTTTTAACAATTAACGGAAAATATCAAAATGCCCATCTATACGCTAATCCAGTTGTGACGCAATTACATAATACCTTGTAGCTATAAGAATGGAAGAAAATTCCATTGTTAATAGGCAGGGTGTCCAGAAAATATTGTAAAAAATGATGTAGAACCTATATATGGAATGTTTGTTTTTGTATAATAAGTATAGGGAGCCCTGGGGCTGGTGTGGTTCAGTGGATTGAAA